GCTTCTGGGCACTTGCTCTGCCCTCGGGGCTATATGTAAGACTGTATGCATGTATGTGACAAGTTGCCAGGCCCTGCATCTGAAATGTGTAATGTCTAACAAGTCGCTGGACCCCTGATCTGGGGTGCCTCGCTGTGGGGGCATAGGTGCAAGGCAAAAGAGCACAGAAGGGCTCCAGACACACCTGTGGCAGTTTCAGTAGGTGTCTGAAGCGGATGGGTGTGCTGTGTGCTTGCACCTTCGGCCTCCCCTGGGCTGTTCGAGGGTGGGGACTTGGCCACCGGTGGACCTGGGGTGAAAGTCACACCAGCAGCTCAGTGCGCATGTGTGCAGGGCAGCCAGATGGTGAGGACTCGCCACGGTAGGGCCCTAACTTGGGCAGTGACGCTGTCCCCAAGGCCTCGAGCCGTCTGAGCAGCACGGACCCAAGGTTGGTTCTGGACTCGTCCCTGTACCTTCCCAGCCACATTTGCACCTGTCGCCCCAATGGCCTGTCCCCAGGTTTCACCTCCCAGATGCTCCCTGCCCCCTGGGGGGAGGTGCATCTGATGCAGCCTCTGGCCTGCTGTAGCAGTCCCCACTGGCCATTCTCACAGGATGAAAAGTTGGTAAATAACTCCGAGGAAAGGCACGCAGCCCCTGGCTGGCCAGCATGTCCTGTGTGAAAGCCCCGCGTGCTCGTCCTAGGCTGCGGCATGGTCGCGCCCAGCAAGCCCTCCTGCCCTCTCCGCATAATGTCCCAGATCTTGAAGGAGCTGCTCTCCAGAGCAGCACTAACTGTAATCCCAAGCTCATGTGAACCAAGTCACAGCCCTAAGGCTAACCCTAAAACTTGATGTTAGACCTAACCCTACCCCAACCCCAACCTCGATCCTCACCCTGACCTGACCCTGAAACTACCCCGAGCCAGCTGACAGCTTCCCAGGCTGTGTGGACGCTTCCCTCAGTCCGCACTGTTGATTCCTGGTTTGGCAAGTGTCGTCATTTGGGGCCAGGAAAAATTTAAAATTAACTCCTTTTGTTCTGTTTCTTCTTTTTAATTTCTGTGACAGGCTGTAGCAAAAGGTTACCTAAAAGAAACCTTGCCTTTTGACGGGAGACCTGGAGAATTCATGTGGATTTTTAAATATGCAATCTATTTTTCTTGGCCAAATCAGAGGAAAACTGACGTTTTCAAGGTGTCCATCTGTCGATAGCCCTTTTCTGAGAAGGCGGCCTAGCATTTTCTCTGGGTGCAGGGGGCCCATGGAGGGCGGGTCAGGTGAGACCACAGAAGGCCCTGCAGTTCTGGGGAAGTCACTGCAGCAGGTACTGCTGGCCTCAAGAGGCCAGCTGAGAATCTCTCCTTAGTTCCTGCGGCTTCTGGCAGCCAGATTCTGCTTACCTCCCACTTAGCAACGGACTGTCTCCGTCCTGTGGGTCGGGGTCCTGGGGGCCAGGGTTTCCACCCCATTAGTTTTGCCTGCTAAACACAACGTGGAGCGACCTTAGTGGCTGAGAAATTCATGAAGTCTATACACTTCGGAAACCAGTGGCAAAGATACCCATTCTTGTCCTCTTTCCTTCCCTGTCTCTCACAGAGCTGGGGGCCTCGCCAGGGCTAGCAGGTGTGAGATGACGTCTCTCCCACCGTAGATCCCTGTCCTTGCCATGCCTGGGGTCAGAGCGCCCCACTGCAACAAGACATGCAGACCCTGCCTCGCGTCCTGTAGAGTTCTCTATTATTCTGTACTGAACTTCGAAGTAACACTTTATTTCTGCCAGAAGAGCAGCATTGCTTATCTATAGCCTCCTTTTCTTTCTTTAAAACCATGCTTTAAAGTTTGATTCAGTCATTGAGAAACAGCCAGTCGTTAAATAATACATTAACTGTATGACAGTTGGGCCTAGATAATTGGCAACAAGAACTTTTAATGAATTTATTTTGAAAGTTTGTACAGAAACCAAATTTGATTTCAAAACTAAAAGCAAAGATTCATATCCTCTAGCTTTGGACATGGAGCAGTTTACTAGCATTTTGAAATTTTATCTGGCCAATTAAGTATACAAAGCAAATTAACCAAAACATACATAATGCATGTAGAGAAAATATTAGAGTATATAATAAGGAAGTGTGCTCAATAGGAGTCTTTAAAAATTGAAAGCACAAGAGTAATTTTGAGATTCATGACAGCCCCGGGGCTCCTGTTCCTTGGTGGTGATAACTTCAGAAGACGGGACAGCTTGGCTTGTTGCTGGTGCAGGCTGAGAGTATCCTCTAGCTCCTCTCCCAGCACGATTGCGCCTGATATTTGTCGTTGCCGGAATTGCATGCACAACTCCTCTCTTAAAGGGTAGATGGTGGATTCGATCATGTTGGCTTTTCTGCTATACCCAGAATGGCAGGGCAAGCATGAACGTTTCAAAGAAGTAACTTTATCTTGAGCCCAGCCATTTGTTTCCTCAGTAGGGTTAGATCAGACACTGTCTTTCTTCAATGACTTCATTGTTTAAAGGAAAAACCTCTGTAATCTTCAAAGTTTTGACATTTTCCATTTTCCATTCTGTTACTGCCTCTTTCATGACACATGATTCAGGCATTTAGCTTAGTTTAAATTAGTGGATTGGTTGGCAGCTAAAAATTGGTTTGTGCAAGAGGTTTGAATAACTGGAGAGATTTGCCTACACGTTTAGCATTTATTCTCTAATTTTCCTTTTGGGGTTTCTTCCCTACGTAATCGCTTGGTGATACCTAGGTGACTGGCAGTGAGCTCTGCGTCTCTCACTGTGTGTGAATGCTGGCATGGTGTCACTCCTGCCTGCACATGTGATAGCAGCCACCTGCTCGGGATGAGTCTTTATTTCAAGTCACAGACCTTCTTCCACAAGGCCTCAGGGACAGAGGCACCCAGACGGCATAAAATCCTGCAGCGCTCCACGCTGTGCTCGCGCCCGACCGCGCAAGCGTGCGTGCTGACCAGCTTGCAGGCTGTCTCCTTCTTGGGGTCAGAACCCACGTGTGTCAGGCCCACAGGCGTGCTGGCGAAGCCACAGAGCACTGAGATCTCCACAAGCTGTGTCTGGGCCTGTGGTAAGCATCTCACACACAGAGGGGCAGAGCAGACATGACCAGTGACCTTGTGGGATCTTCAGTAACATCACAACGTCACTGGGGCATGGCACAAGAAAATCCTCACGTGATCACAGCATGGCAAGGACGTGTTTCGACGCTACCCAGACATACTCGGTGTCCGGCCATCCGCCCCGGGACAGGACCCGCGCGCACATGTAACAGCTGCTCACTGGTCAGCATTTTATCTCTTATTTCTCCAGCCTCCAAACAGTCCTCTAGTCATAGGCAGAAAGTGCCACAGAGAGCTGCGTGGGCGGGCACGGCCTTTAGCTCCTTCCAGAACTGCCCGGTTCTGCACTGGAAACCTGCGAGAGCTGGACTGTGTGCTGCATAGTGGTGATCTGGGGCACTGCTGGTGCTTCCCGCCGACTCGTTCCTGTTCCCTGGTGCCTGCTGGCCTCCCAAGCCTGCAGGCATGGCCAGCGGGGCCCCGGGCCCGCACATCCGCAGTGACACCCGCACTTCTTCCCAAGCCATTTCCTAAGCAGCAGACCGAGGCTGGGAAAGCCTTGAGCACAAAATAAAGGTGTTTTTAAAACACCAGCGTGTACCATATTTCCTTAACAGAAAAATAAGATACACTTACCACAGAAAAGCCACGTGGACAGACGCACCCCCAGAGTGCCGCAGGCTCTGGCCTGCTCTCTGTGTAGTGCAGCCCCAGCCCTGCCTGTGCACCGCTTGTCCAGGTCCTGTAGCTGCTCTCAGTTCGGTGGACATGGGCATGCACATCAGCGTCCACCACAGCCCAGGCCTCCTCTGCAAGGTCCCCAGGGTGGCTTGTCCCCAGGGACTGGACACTCTGGGGTGTTTTTATTTTTATCTTTTTTTTCTATTAAATAATTTATTGAACAAACGAAAGAGTTGCCACTGTTGAAGCCATTTCTGTGTTAAAAGCGCTAATTTAAAATGTGGGCAAAGTGCTCTGGCGCTGAGGGAAGGTATCTGGCAGAACACGGGGACGCTCGTGGGTCTTCCTGAGGTCAGAAGTCACACACACAGCTTTGGCGAAATTCTGGAGAAACCGAGCCCAGGTTAGCTTCCTGCGCCTAATAAGGGCCTGGCATGCCTGCTCATGGAGAGAGGTGGCGCTGTCCCAGCTGCAGAAGCCGGGTCCCTCCCCGTGCAGACTCGTTGCTGGTGTGTGTGCGCGTGTAACTTACCTCCTTCCCTCTTATCCCCTCCCCCACACCTTGGTCCCTTCTGTTCACAAAAGATCTGTCTCCCTGAGTCCTGTATCTTTAATGTTTTTCTTATATGTTGGGCTTCTCGTAAAAGAGAAATCATGTGATACTTGAGCTCATGTGTGATTTATTTGCTTAGTGTCATGGTCTCCATCCCTTCTACGAATGCCTCGGTTCTGCCCTTTATGACAGCATAGAGCTCCTTTGGCATAAATACCACCCTTCCTTTACCCAGTCTTCTGTGTGTGGGCACCTGGTGGCTTCCTAGGTGTGGCTGGTGTACTTCAGGGCACATGAGTGTGTGTGGGCCCTCCTCTATTGGGCTGCAGGGCACAGAGGGCAGGAGCAAGGGGCTGAACAGTAGAGCAGGAGGAGAGGGCAGGTCAACAGCCCTCCAGGGCCACCACCCAGCACCAGGGCTTGTGCTGGCCCGTCCCTAAGGGTATCACTTCCCCAGAGCCGCGAATGTGCAAGCCCCAGAGGAGGATCAGGACCCAGGTGTACTGTGGGGCTGAATCGGCATCAGCCCCAGGCGAGCGTCCAAGCACACCGCCGTCCCCTGCCTGTTTCCTGACAGGTGCACAGCCCTAAGCAGCTCCCACTCCCGCGGAGCCAGTCCACCACTGTGCAGTGCTCTAATGTTGCCCTTCAGGTCACACATACCGTTATCCGTGAACTGAAGTGCCGTGGTTTCTTCTTGCCAGGAATGCCGTCTCCAACCGCGCTGAAGAAGTCAGAGAAGTCGGGGTTCAGCAGCCCCTCTCCCTCGCAGACCTCCTCTCTGGGGACAGCGTTCACGCAGCACCACCGCCCGGTCATCACGGGCCCCCGAGGTGAGCACTGCAGGGGGAGCCGGGACCACAGAGCAAGCACCTGCGCCGCCCTGTGGGGCAGCCAGGGTCTCGGTAGGCAGAGGCCTCGTGCTCACCCCTCCCCTGGAGCAGAAGGGGCCAAACTGGTCTGCTGCTCGTGGGCTTAGCAGAGGGGTCCGATGCAGGGACACAGAATCAACCCCAGTCTGCAGGTGTGGTGTGCGTGCCTGCATGTGCGTGTGTTTGTGCTCACACACATGTGGTGCTGGTGGGTGCTTCTGTGCGGTGGCCACCGTTTTAGAGTCAGAGTTATCTGTTCCCTCTGGCCCTGACCCCTTCCCGGGAAGGCGGATTCAGCCTGTGGCCTTGTGCTGAGGCTTTGTCAGGAGTAGACGAATATTGGGCATCTCTACCCATGCCTCTTGGCGCTGGGGGCCAGTTGGGCTGATTTGCATTATTTTCGTCTCCCGAGCCGTTAACTTTATTATTAAAATATGTCAATAAGAAATACAATTTGTATTCACATTAAAGAGAAGACTTAAACCCCAAGAGAATGTCAGCAAGTCACTTGATTTGATCTTACAGCAAAAAGGAAATACTAGTTTGCTTGCACCCTCCTATGATAGGAGCAGAAATAACTGGGACCTGTGTACCTTCTTGTGTCAGGTTCTGCCTTGGTCCTCTGGCCTGCATAGGTCCTCTGGCCTGCTTACGTCCTCCGCCCTGCCTAGGTCCTCCGCCCTGCATAGGTCCTCCAGCCTGCCTAGGTCCTCCGGCCGGCTTAGGTCCTCCAGCCTGCTTAGGTCCTCCGGCCTGCCTAGGTCCTCCGGCCTGCCTAGGTCCTCCGACCTTCTTAGGTCCTCCGGCCTGCTTAGGTCCTCTACCCTGCTTAGGTCCTCCGGCCGGCTCAGGTCCTCCGGCCTGCCTAGGTCCTCCGGCTGGCTCAGGTCCTCCGCCCTGCTTAGGTCCTCCGGCCTGCCTAGGTCCTCCGACCTTCTTAGGTCCTCCGGCCTGCCTAGGTCCTCTGGCCCGCTTGGGTCTGCCAGCCCAGTTAGGTGGCTCTGTCATGGGCCAGCCTCTGCCACCACATCTTGGAGAGTTAAGATCTCTGGTGGACTCTGACGCACCCCTGGGGAAGTAGGGGTTTCTGGCATTAACCTCAATGTCAGTCCCACAGATCTGAACCCCTTCCTGTGTAATGAAGGAAATAGATGCTCCTGGGAGAGGAGAAGCGCTCTGACCCTCTGTGCAGCTTCTAGGTCAGGATGTGGAAATCTCACTCGCTTCCTCTTTAAACACCCGCGATCAGTGCACAAACTTTCTCCAGATCCCGCATGATTTCACATGCATGTGTAGTGAATACAGAGATACCTATGTAAATGAGTGTGTGTCTGTGTACAGTGGTGAACGTCCACATGCGATTGGACGAGCTGGGTTCAGAGGGAGCAGAATTAGGACGTCACCCTGCTCATTAACATTTTGGGGGGCCCTTCTCGGGATGCCTTCAGGGCAGGTCTGGTTTGGCTTGAGGATGAGGGGGTGGAGCCACAGCACCCAGAGCCCGACTGCTCTGTTTCAGCAGGCACTCGAACACCTGAGCTAATGGGCCGGCAGGCCCGCTCATTAACATTCACTGCACACCAGAGCTGTGGTGGGGCCAGAGATGCAGAACCCTTTTCCTCAGCACATTTCGGAGCGTGGGGAGGAGAGGAGAGGCTGTCCTTGTCTCTGTGGGGCTAGCGCATTGGGGTGCTGAGTGAGAGTTAAAGCGCAGGAGCTCGGGAGGGCCGGGCTGCGCGAGTCCTCCGTGCACCCTGCTGCCCCGGCTGCCCCGCCCATCTGTGTTTTACCCATCCCTCTCCAGGCCCAGCTCAACATAGCATCCTGGGGACAGGACCCAAGTCTGAACACGACACTCGGCTGTGTGTCGCATGCTTGTGGCCTGCAGATAATGTCAGACCATCTTTACTGAACTCGCGTTGTAACGTGGGGTGGGCACAGGGCTATCCCTTGCGCGGCGCCAGTGCTCACAGAGCTGAGGGTCTGGAGCCTCCCCAGACTTGGGTTCTCAGACCAGGGGTGCCCAGCCTGTGCTGCCTGACTGGCACTTGCTGTCCTGCTGCACCCTGTCACCTGGGCATGTGCCACAGGGTCTTGTCTCCTAGTTAGAGCACATGTCTTCCCTGAGGTGGACTCGGGAAGGCAAGTGTCACGCACACCTGTGCCCCAGCCCAGCAGGGGGTATGGGTTAAATGATGAAATAGCAGTTATGTTGCATGTAAAGGTACACGAGAAGCTCTCTGCTATGCCAGCCACATGTGCCCTGGTAGTTCTGTCTGTTCCAGGAGAGAGAATGGGGTAGGCATGGGGCCTTGGGAAGTCTGCAGAAGCCCGGAGGATTAAGGGAGGTTTCGATACTCAAAGCCAAGGCTTGTCTTAGTTCCTGCTGTTTTGACCACTTCCCATTTATACTGAAAAGGCACGGGCCTGTGGCTTCTTACATCTCATCCCCTTTCTGACAATGGCTGTCTTTGTGGCTTGGAGAAGTTACTTAACCCCGGCCTCAGTGTGGCCGTCTGCGCCATGGGAACAAGGCTTTGCGACATGCTTCTCTGTGTGGTCGGAGTGACAGAAAGTGTTAAACTGTGCTGCAGTGTCCTTGGGGTGAGGAAGCTATTAAACCTCAGCAAACCACATGCCCCACTGGCCCTGCCCCTGGGCACACTGAGCGGGCCAAGATGGGGTGGTATGGTGCATGCCTGTAATCCCAGTGCTGGGAGGCTGAAAACATGGATCACTACGAGTCTGAGCTGCATAGTGAGACCCTGGACCAAATACATTAAGTAAATAAATAAACTTCAGCAAAGGCATTTGTGTCGACATTACTATGTTTAGTAGACACTATCATCTGAGACTGGGCTTTGAAAGACTTTCTTTTAGCATTACTTAAAATTGTGACCAGCATGAAGTGTTTAATCATGACAGTTTATCTTATTCTAGATCAATAGGGGAAAAAGTGTTTTCTTTTCCTTATCTTTCAAAAGCTAAGCTTAGCCAATGATCTCCAGTCTTTTTTGAGAATTATCTTGAGTAATTGTTAATGGTAAGTTTCTTGAAACTTATTTTTCTTTTCTGCAAGTCTGTTTTCAAAAGCAAGATAGTGAATGGTACTTACTTTATTTAAATACTTTGTACTAGGGCCGGCCAAATAGCTCAGTGGATTAAAGCGCCTGCAAGCAGGTACAGGGGCCAGGGGTTCAATCCCTTGGGCCTGCCATGCCGGTGCCGCCCCAAGGGCATGCTGAGACAGCGATTGAGACTGGGCGGTGGAACGAGCCTACAATCCCAGCTCTTGGGAGGCTGTAAATAGGAGGCTCACTATGAGTCTGATCTAGTAGTGAGACCCTGAACACCCTGTAGCCCCTTCCCTAAAATACAACTAAATAAATAAATACTTTGCACTAAGTCAAATAACTGTGCTTTAGACACTTAGAAATGCGGAGGGGGTGCCACACTGTCCTCTGGACAACAGGAGTGCGAGTGCAGAGGCAGGCCGCCCTCAGGAGCTTCCAGGGCGGCGTGGACGCCGTGTGTGCAGGGTCACCCAGCGCGCTAGTGTTCATGGTGCTGTTGAGACTGGTGTGTTCCTCATGTCGGCGAAGAATGCTTGGTGGCAGTGAGAGAAGTGTGGCTCAGCGGCGCCTTGCGGGCGTGAAGTGCTGCACTGTGTCAGAGTAAGCATGCGCTCGGGGCTGCGCAGAAGCGGCACGCCAGTGCGCGTGGCCCCGATTCTGATCCCCGGAGTTTCCTGTGACGTGTTCCCCAAGGGCTCCTGTGGGGTGCCGAGTCCCCAGGGAGGTGGGATGCGGAAGGAGTCAGGTCCTGGATCCCCCTCGCCAGTGGCGAGTGCTGTCTCCCGGCAGGTCAGGCCTGGGAGTGCGTCATGCGTCCTCGAAGGCCTCCAGCTTCCTTCCCACAGACCTGTCCCATCTGCACAGGGCCAAGCGGTGACCCAGCCAAGGGCGCACCGAGGCCACCATCGTGCCATCTGGATCCAGACTCTGCTCCCAGATGGACTCTCTTTCATGGAACACCTGGCCCCTGGCCTGTCCTCACAGCAGGACAGCACAGACTGAGACAGCCACCCTTGTGGGAACTGTGAGTGCTGGTGTGGCCCTCGCACTCCAGGTGTGTGGGGAGGAGGGACGGGGCGCACACCTTAGCCACCCTGTCACCGTGCAGCAACCCCCCCCAGCAATGTGGTCGGCCTGAAGCCAGCCAGCCTCGCCTGGCTGCCAGAGGGAGGGAAGTGTGGATTCTACTCTCAGAGCTGAGCGTAGAATTAACTCTACGTAAAGTGAGAGCTTCGTAAATGCGTAGCTGGGACAGATGTCAGGTGTGACCCATATGGCTCTAACGATGAGAACTTGGGGGCCAAAGACAAGCCCAGACACCAAGTCTGCAGTCCAGTGCTTTTCTTCTCCCTTTCAGCAGCTTCTACCTTCTTGCCATTCATTAGGAGAAATAAACTGCATTTATTCAAGTAGTTTCCACACTTTTTATTAGGCAGAGACATAATGTGTTCACTTAGATCTTCTGATAATCATCCATCGCCTGAGCTATCTCACTGAGCTCTTCATAGCCGTCATAAACAAGTCATTTCGCTTTTTTATGAGCCCGTGGCTCCTTCTACTGGCAAATGCAGGGCCTCTGAGGCAGCTTTAAGCTCGATGTTTTCCAGTACTGAAGCGGATCAGCAGCTTCCTACTGCCGTCGGGAGTCGTGGCCTCCTGGCGCTCGGCGGGAGCTTACAGAACACAGGTTTTTCTTCCTGGGATGGTGTCATGGTTTGGGGTTTTTGCAAGGTGAACAATACAGTACAGGACACATTTTATAGTAATATTTTATAATGAATCACCCAAGAATCACATACTGTAAATGCAAGAAATTAGCCACACACTAAAAACTAAAATATCCAGCTGCAGGCCTACAGCTCATAACGATACCTCCTACCAGCCCAG